CCCCCCCCCCCCCCCCTGCGAACGCAACACGAGCCGCATGCTTGTCACGCCTCGACAAATAAACACACCAATAAGGCACCACTTCAGATTGCCCACAAACCTACAAAAGCACTGCCTCACGGACAATCAGGCATGACTGGACGCAGTCAGCTCCAGCCGTGCCTTCGCCAGAGGCCGCTGCCGCCTTAGAGGACAACTCGTGCCTCAGTACACAATAGACCCTCACTCTGGTGAATTCTGCCTTTTCCTACAACAAGAAATTTGGGCTGGTTACTGTAGCACCTTGAGTACACTCTCATCGCTTAGACGCTACGTATTACCCTCACTGGTGGTGGTGGTGGTGGTGGTGGTGGTGGTGGTGGTGGTGGTGGTGGTGGTGGTGGTGGTGGTGGTGGTGGTGGTGGCGGCGGCGGCGGCGGCGGCGGCGGCGGCGGTGGTGGTGGTGATCCTTGAACTGACCCTATCGTCCTTTTTGTCAGTAAGCAGCCAGCGACGTCGCCGTAGAGTAATCGACTAGACATGCGCTCGCCGCCCATCCTCACGACGTGGCCGCTCTGTCGCAATCGCGTCTGTCGCAACATGGCGCAAATATTAGATACACCAGCTCTTTCCCGGATCTCGGTGTCTGGGATCCATCCCTAGCATTCCATCTTCAGTATTCTGAGGTGGGAGTGGTCTTGCTTTCTTGCTTATCTTTCGTACACCGTTAATGCCTCCTCATTTAGAAGCATTGTCAGGACTAAACGTCCATAAATCTTCAGCTTCGTAGTGGTGGCTTGTCGCGGCCTGACCGGCTCTGGAGATCCGATTGACTATTTTTTCGTCAATTTTCATTCTTCCAGAAATTGTCCACCTCCCTCACCCAGGTGTGCGGATTCGTCCGCTGGTGCGAGGCATGTGACGTTGAAATCGATCCTGAATTCATCCGAATCAATATGTGACGTCGTTTATTGCATGAGCACTATCTTCTCCGTGTGACCTGTCTACCCAACGCTTGAGCAACCCGGGGTAAAGAGGTCCGTGTGCCGTTGGGTGCTCACTTCCGTCGTTTTGATGGGCGCGCAGTCATCCACGAATAGGGGGATCTGAAAGTGGCAATTGCCGCAGATGCCTCATGCGCCGGATGCTGTCACGTCATCCGTGGGTCCATTTCCTGTTCCTACTCTCTGCAGGCGTCAACCAGCACGGCAGAGATTGGCGAGGATGGGGGGAAGGAGGGGGAAACACAACCCGGATTCACCATCGCGGTCCACTGTGATGAGTGCCTTCGACGCAATGATGTCCAAGAAGGCATTATTGGGGTTTGCCTACATTTTCTGGCACTTTCTTGCAGTCCGCAGACAGCGATAATCCCGTCCCTGGTTCCACGATGTTTCCGAAAACTGCACCGTGATTCTGGAAGGACTCCTTGTTTTAACTGAGTGTTCATTTGGGCTGGGGTAGGACTTGGACTTTCGTTTTTACATACGAATGGTGAATGCATCTTTAAAGTTTTTGGGATTTGTCCTTGTTACAGTGGATTTAGCTGTTCTGCGATTTGGGGTCCACCGCATTTCTAAATTTCGGGTGGGACTGAGTCGATGCCCGGTACGGTTACACTGGACAACTGTCCCACGGCTTTGACTCGTTCCTGTGGCGAACGCGACAATCGAGGTTAGCACTTTAGGACATCTACTGATGGCTTCTTCTCAGATCGTGGACGGGAGACTGAAGACCCCTTTGAAATGCTGAATCCAGTGTTTCAGTATCAACGACTTCTCCGACATAGGAGGGCTCCATCTTGGCTGAACTTTAGCGCAGTCCACTTAGTTTGGTGGTCATGGACTAGGTTGCTGACTCCAGAAAAATTCTTCGTCCCATTTCGTTTGAAATATCTTTGGACCTCCTCAGCCTCGTGGATCAGCCAATCGTCTTTCACCTCGGAATCGGAAGGATGCAACCATAGTGGCACCGTTCCTGTAATTGGCATAGATCCTGTGTTGACTTTTTTCTGACTCCTGGCGTCGGATTTTGTTGCCATCGTTATCGTCGGACCATTCTTGGTCACGTCCATGTACGTGGCCGGGTAATTCTAGATCGACAGCTTAAATGACACCCAACATTCCCTTCCATTGAACCTCAACATAACGTGAATACCGGGTACGTCCGTTTTTCCCATGACCA